GTGATGCGAATTGGTTCCATTTTTGGCCTGGGATTGGCTTATGCAAATTCGAAAAGGTTAACTGTACTGAAGAAAGAAGATGGCGGGATTGTATTCGAGCTAAAAAAGGTGCTTTCCGACACGAGACCATCCGCAACAACCGAGGTATGCTTGATTTTTTTCACTTGTTTTGTGCTTATCGTTTGCGTTCCAGTATTTCCTTCAGCATTTCTACACTTTTTGTAGGTGATCGAATTTGCTGGGTTCCCTGGTCCGGGCGCTTCAGTTGACTGGCCGTGTACTGCGGCCCGTCAAATCAGCTTGTCGATCCTTCGGCAATTAGTGGGGGTAGGAACGGGGTCCTCCTTCTTCATACGCCCTGGTCAGCGCACTTCACGGGATAGGCACTAGTCGATTGATGGTCCTCGATGGGGTAGATACTGGTGCAGACAGACACTCCGCAAGATACTATCGTGCCCACAATACAGATACGGCAGCTTTATATAGGCCGCATTCGCGCCAGTGCACGACCTACCTAGGAGGGGGTCATGATGCAACAAATTGAGTGAAGTCACGAGTACAACAGAAAGTATTTTGTGAAGTAGGACATGCGGGTAAAAGTTAAGGAGTAATAAGCCGACTGATGCGACCAGGTTGACGTAGAAACCTAAGTGGAGACGGCGCGATAGAGTACAGAAAGAAAAAACAGTATGGGAGAAGGAGATAAAAGTGGGACAAGACGTTTCGGTCGATTAAGTCATATACGCCTTAACTCAGCACTGCAACTGGACCTCGTCACTGTGATGGACGTAGTGTTTAGTGGCAAAGGAAAAGAAAAAAGACGAAGGAAGAAGCAGAAAGGGAAACGGTGTGATTGTGGGATTAGAAAAAGTGAGAATGAGATGAAGAGGGAAAGGAAAAGGAAGGAGGAAAAAAGATTTTAAAAAAGAGACTTTATTTTTCAAAAAAGTTTTAGGAAGTTTTTTAAAGGAAGTTATTTTTAAAAAAAGATCGTTGGCGAACTTCGATTATGGAGATTTTATTGCTGGAACAGCTGTGCGTGGAGCCGTGGTCGCTACAGATCTTGCTCCTCTTTGCAGTAGCCATAGAGAGAGAAAGACACACGAAGGAAGAACGTAACGGGAAGGGCATAGGGAACGGAAATGGGTGGGGGTTATGGAGAAAAACACTGTATTAAACGACGATAATGAGCTTCAGTAGGTGGGAAATATTTGAAGGAATGGTTATAAATTCATATGAAATGCAGTGCTGTTCCATTTGGGTAGAATAGAAGATATGATTGGTAGTAGGCATTGCCGAATATGAATAATTGGGTCAAAAATGGTATATTTTGCACCTAATTGCTAAGTGACGACGTTGAATCTTTCCCTCTGTTAAAAGTTGAATGCATTTCTGATGTTCGTAATTTTTTTTTTGAGTTATCTTTGATCAGTGATAACTAAAAATCCTTTATCTGTGAAAAGTTATGATTGATTTCAGGTGAAAGGATTGGCTGCGCTAGCCATTGGATTCATATTAGTGGGTACCTGCGATCATATTACAGCTTCGGAGATGTTCAACTATTTAAACGAGAAAACAGCTACCGATCTGCAAGACCCGAACTACCGTTTCGTAGCTCTTGGCATCGCTCTGATTTTCCTTGGTCAGTTAGAATTATTGTTAAAAAAGTTTTATTCATCTTTTTATCCTGTTAATAATTGATATCCGTTGAGTGGATCTAAACAAATCCTGGGCGAATTTAAATTAGTAATATCGAATGAGAAAAATATGTTAGTAACAGTTCAACTTGGGAAGGGAAAGCTGTTCTGTTTAGTTCCATTAGCCAAAAAAAAAACCTACTTGGATCAGCTTTAATTTACAGTTTGGCTCGGCATTTGTGCAGCTTTCGAACGCCACAACAGTAACTTATTGGGCGAAAGATACTTTACTAGAACATGAGGCACACTGCCATAGCTTGCAGGCTTCTTTTTTTTTCCATTTTTCTTATTTTTTCGAATCCTTAATAGCTTACTTATCCTTAATTGCCACAATAATAAAAATAGTAACAATAACAATGATAATAAAAATATTAGTAGTAATAATAATGACAATAATAATAATAATAATAATAATAATAATAATAATAATAATA